CGCCGGAGCCCCGGGCAACTGGTCGGTCGGGTTTCATCACCTGGCCTTTCGGCGCGCGGCAGCAGTCGCCCGCGCCGCCCGCGCCAATTCAGGCGACGCCACGGTGGGTGACTTCTGGACCAACCTCACCAACATCACGCACATGTTCCACATCGACCTCCTGCTGATTGAAGCCAGTGGCACCGCGGGCGCAGCGGCGTTCTGCACGATCGACGACCACGGAGACGAGCAAGGGAGAACGAGGCAGGCAAACGCTCCCACGAGTACCTCGCGACGTGCAAGTTGATGGCCGTTTGTGCAGCGACGGGGCGCAGCAGGCCCAACAATGCCTCCAGGTAGGCAGCTGGGAAGAGCGCGTTGACTACGTCGTCGTACCTGCCCGCGAAACATGGATGCAACGCAGATAGTGGCTACTGCTGACGCGATCGACATGGCCCAGGACGGGGCCACCTGCCAGTCGCGATCCAACAGTCCTACGCGACAATCTCGCAGGCGGCGAGGGGGGCGCCACGATTTGGCTCAGAGCGACTTCCCAAGCCAGAGGACCAGCAGGCTTTCCGACGATATCTGAAAAGTGTAGAGCTACATGGACGGGGGCGCGACATCACGAGGCTGCCAGCACAGCAGGGAAGCGAGAGAAGTTGCCGGAAACGCGCGCAAGCTGAAGGCAGTCAGGGCCCGCGGGCCCTGCATCGCCGACATTCGCCCGACCACCCTGGCGCGGCCCGCCACGACATCGGGCGCGCCCTTTGGATTGTGATACCTCAACTCCCAAATATGGCCACGCAATTCATATGTTCTCGCGCGCCTGACCTAGGAGCTGGCATCTATTTCGCCCTGGCCCCGGTCACATGACGCGACCTCAGCCTAGAGAAATTCGCCGGCCCAACGGGCCAGAGGCGTGCTAAGATCTCCGGTAACTGTTAAATAATACTTCTACTTCGCGCGCGCGGGGCGGCCCCTGGGGGTCCCCGGACGAAAAGTACCCCGGGCGATCCCCGGCAGGGTCGGGTCAGAGATGGTTTTCCTCCTGGGCGCCGCCCCCGCGGCCCTCCAGAGAGCCCCAAGAAGGGCCACGAGGCCGCCAAGAGCCCTCCAAGATGGTTCAAGAGTGCTCCGAGATGCCACGCGATCGTTCCAAGACGGCCAAGATGGCCCCCAGACGCCCCAAGAGGCCTCCAAGAGCACTCCCCAGAGTGCCCCAAGAGGCAACATTCATTACTTTTCCGTAGGTTTTGGCCAGATTTTGGCGCGTCCATCTTCTCGGCTTCCCGACGCCCCAAGACGGCCCAAGAGGCCCCCAAGATCGCCCCAAGAGGGCCCAAGAAGCTCCCAAGAATGCCCCAAGATGGCCCAAGAAGGCTCCAAGACGGCCCCAGCGGCATCCAAGACGGCCCAAGAGGGGGCTCAGAGGGGCCCCAGAGGGCCCCAAGCGATGCCCCAAAGGGGGAACACAAAACAAAACTTCGAGCCCTCGGCCTTAAGAAGCCCCCAGGAGGCCTCAACAGGCCCATGAGGGGCCCCAAAAGCCCCCAATAGGCCGTCAGGAGGCCCCCAAGCGACGCTGCAGAGGCCCCCCAGCGGCCCCAAGAGGCTCAGTCATGCGAAATGGGCCAGCGGAATGAGCGAAGCGATTCAATGAGAGATTTCATCAAACAACCAAATCTTCGTCACGCACATAGTTTCCGACTCCGCAGACATCTGGATCAAGGTTTTCGGCTTCGCCGACTTCTGCCAGACTCCCGCGGCGCTTCGCGCCACCGCAGTTCGCAGTGCTGATGGGGCCGCCGGTGGACCTACACCGGGGCAGGTCTTGGACAGATCGCTTCGAACCACGCGACGCCACCATCAAATGCAAGGTCCACAGCTTGATGCCCGATAACACCTGCGCCAAGAACGCAGAGATCAGGATCGCCAAAGGCGCCAAGGACAACGCCGCGCAGAACGCGGAGAGGGTTGCACAGCTGGAGAAGCACGGTCGAGTGGACATCGCGTCCAGCGCGGCGCCCGAAGTCCATGTGCAGGACCAACCGAAGGTCCTCCACTGCTAGCGTCTCCGAGAGGGAGCCGAACAGTTCGATTGCAAGCTGTTCGAGGGCCCAAGCATTAATCATTTAGCAGCACCCGCGGCGCGAGCACCAGTCCCAGGCCAGTTCAACTTGGACTCCGAGGTGCCCACCAAGGAGCCCACTTACGCAGCGCGTGATGTAGGGCCAGTTTACGCGCCAGTGAACAGTTCAACAAAAGGATGGAGAAATATCATGTAAAAGCACCGCTACACGCTCGCAGACTTGGGCGCCACCAGCCGCAATTGGAAACGGGGCGCCAGCGCCAGTTGCACCGACGCCGCGCGGAACAAGTTCAGCAAGGACCGACCTGATGCGGGCACCAAAGAAATACATGCCACTGGTCCGCCAGGCCCGCTCACCTACCACACTGCCGCAACGCCGCCTGCAGGGAGGCCAGCCGCGACGGCAACGCCAGAGACGCGCTGCAGAAGAGGGCCCTCGTCGCGGCACTACCGCAGGAACGGGCGAAGGACGCGGCAGAGAATGGCCGCGTGGACCCTGCCCCCCCCAGATCCGGCCGAACAGCATGGATATCACCTACCCAGTGCAAAGCAACGAGATCCGCTCCATCCTGGTTTACAGAAAAGAGAGAGAGAGAGAGAGAGAGAGAGAGAGAGAGAGAGAGAGAGAGAAAAAAAAAGAGAGAGAGAGAGAGAGAACAACAAAAAATAGAGAGAGAGAGAGAGAGAGAGCGAGGGAGAGCAGGCTTCCAGGATGCAGAACGTGAGGCAGCCCACTCCATGACGCACCTGGCGAGCTCGTTCCAAGCTGCAGACTACCTGCGCCGCGCCACCAACGAACTCGGGAATGTTGTGGAAGCAAGCGAAGCACTGCCAATACTACTGCACCTCGCGGACGCGCTGACCACGAGGGGGCAATGGCCATTCATCCACGCGGCGACAATCGGGTCTTCGAGCTCCGCAACCTGCACATGGCCCCTCAGACGCGAGGAGAGCTGCGCGTCGACAAGGGCGACCCCGGCGTTGACCTTGCCCCCGGCGTTGACCTTGTCCTGTTGGTTGAGGTGGTTGACCACGAGTTAAAATTACTTCCACAACTACAGACCCGAATTCCAGCTGGGACCACCATCCAAAATAACGCCACAGTGGCCACGCAGCGGCAACGTGAAGTGGCCCGCGCCAGCAGACTTGGATGCCGAGAATGGGGCCACCATCGAAACGCGGGTGCCGAACAGAATCGTACCAGCCGGCGCGATGACGGCGAGGCGTCCAAAGCCCCGCCGACCAACAGATTGGGTCGAGCCCGACGGGGTCATCGCCTTCGGATGCATCAAGGAACAGGCTCAGGACATCCGCAAGCTGATGCCCCACGTCGAGAGCGACGTCCGCGTGGCCAAACGTATCGAACACTTCAAAAATCCCACCGACGACCGCGATGTGCTACTGGTCCTGATGGACTGTCCCGCGGAAGAGGGCCATGGGCATCATGCCCTATTCTGTGGCTGGCACCCAGCCTGCAAGACGCGAACGATTACGACCACTTAGACGCGACCCCATCACCGCGCCAACTCAGAACAGGCGCGGCCGTGAAACCAGCGCCGAGGCCACAGCGCCCGGTCGGGCCGCCGCCGCCAAACTTCCCGCCGCCACCCGCATTCACATCAGAGCACCGAGAATGGACCGACCACGACTTGGCGCGGGGAGGGTGCGATAGCTGGGCATCTCCAACGGGGTGCCCTGCAATCAGAGCCGCCATCTCCCCCCCTGCCCTCGGGTGTGGATCGCGCGCAGAACGGACGACCCGCCCCGCTTCTGCAGCCAAGTCTACCATTTTAAAACATCGAGACCCGCTTTCCCCGGTGAGACCGCCCGAGCAGCAGCCTCCTCATCGGCGGCTGGAAGAGAGGAGCCGCGGCCGGCAGCGAGGAGTTCTACCGCGACAGCAACGGCAGCGCAGTGAGAAAAAACATCCGCTGGCCCCGCGAGGACAGCGGCCGCCGCCACCGCCCCCAAAGCCAACGTCACCGTGGGCAAGGTCGGTCTATGCGGACAGATCAGCGCATGACGAGCGCGCTGCAAGGCGAAACCAGCAGGATGGACATGCCATACAGCACATCGACGCCATCAGGAACAGCATCTCCGCCATGAGCATCGACCAACAAGGAAAACCTGATCGGGAACCCGCGGGCTCGAATCCGCGTCGAAGACATCGTGGAGATCCAGAGCGCCGACGTTCTGAGCCCTGAAGGCACCGCCGAGATCACCGCTGAGGTCCAGACCGCGAACCCACTAGGGGCCGCCAAACCTACGCGCGAAGCCGCCTGGCCAGACCCCCACCTTGCCGAGGCCCGAGAACTTCCCACCGACAACTCAACAGCAGCAAGCCGACCACGACGTCATCGAGCGAGACATCTACGACTGTGTCAGTTTGGTCGCAGACGGACCGCCACCGACAAACGGCGCAGGGCAATGCCCACAACGACAACATCCGATCCCTCAACACTCCGTCCGACCACGGCCCACCAGCCCGTGCACCCCCCGCTGGCGGAAGCCGCCTGAAAGCCCCGCCGCCGACCCACATGCTGTGCGAACCCGCGGCAGTTCGGCTGAGCTACTACCGGCGCAACGGGACGCAGGGCCACCGCGGGGGGGCATGCCGTCACTGGCGGGTGCCCTGTCCCAGATGGCCGACGGCAGGAACTTAAGCATGGGAGGTGAGCGACCAGGCCAAGCCACCATCCTCCCACAGGCGGCCCGTGCAAAGCCACCACCTAGACTCGAATTGCCGAACTGCGACGGGAGTTTCCCAGCTTGCAGCACGGCAGCCGCGCCGCCAGACGAGGTGAACTACAAGCCACCGCCAGCGAATAATGTTGCGGGACCGCACGCGGCGTCACGCGTGGCCACGATCTACGATGAGGGTGCCGAGTGCCGACGCCACTTGGGGAACCGCACATTGGCATCCTCTCAGGCACATCCGCCATCGAGCTCCGGCGCGACGTCATAGGGAGACTGGCCAACACCTGCAGCAGCATGCACAATGACGATGCAACGCCGCTGTTCATGGTGCACGTCAATAGGCTGATCAAGGAGGCCATCGCGGATATCGGCGGCCCCGAGGCGGCCGTCGACTGGAACGCTGACCCATTCTCGAACGACTTCGCAGAGCACGACCAAGTGACGACCGATTTCTTCAGAGAGCTGGACAACTGCACGGGCGAGGCTGCCAACCCACCTGTCCGCACTTTCGGGGGCTTTGGCATGACGGACAAACAGAAGGGCCTGGCGCACTTCGTCATCCGCCAGCTCTGCGGCATCACCCCATACCCAGTGGCCAACGACCGCAGGGACCTACCAAGCCCGTAGTACGCAAGGATGGAGCGTGGGGACATCCTCACCTACATGCTACAATCCCACGGGCATGCCAACGCCGTCCGCGACAGCAGCTTACCGGAGGGACATCGCCAACCTCATGATCGAAAATGTGAACAACCCGATCAACAACCAGGACGCTGTACCACTGGCAGAACCAACGGCCCAGCCAACGCGACCAGGTCCAACCGACAAGGACGGCCCATCCGACCACTGACGCATTACACGAGACAGTAACGCACCATCACCGACCATCAGCGGCACCGCACCCCAGCAGGGCACGGATCATAACCGAGGCAAAACCGCGGACACCAGGAATCTCAGCCGCAGCAGCTACCAAACGCTGCCGGCAGCCGACCTCTTCATCAGAAGGATGCCCCTGACGATTCTTTCGTGAGCGGTCAACCAGCGCCTCCGCGACTTGCTTCAAACAAGCTCAGGTCGCCTTCACGACACCGCCACTGGAAGGCACCGTTCCGCTGCGCCCACCCGCAATTCGCATCATCATTCCCGACGGCAGCAGACCCAACAGCGAAAACGCCATCTGCGACACCAGGTGCCCCGACGCTCGCTGCGACATCCAAGCGGCCACGGGCACCAGCGAGGAGGAAAACAGCGAGGATCCCGACAGCAAGGAGCACGCGAAGACGCAGCCCGACCGCACGACCGCCACAGGCGGCGGCGTGCGTCGAAGCCGATGGCACGCCCAGCCAGGGGAGGACGATGGAGGAGAATGAGGAGAAGGAGGAGGAGGAGGAGGATGAGGGGGACAAGGAGGATGGAGGAGGAGGAAGAGAAGGAGGAAGAAGGAGGAGATGGAGGGGAAGGAGAAGGAGGAGGAAGGAGCATGGGATCCGCTGATAGAGCAGGATGCCCACGCCTGGCCTGGCCGGCACTGGCCCATCCCGCCTGGCCCATCGACTCTTCTCTTAGAGGGCAGGCGCTGACCCCCGATCTTGCACAGCAGCGGCAGACCAGGCGCACCCCGCCCGCATGCCGAGGCGGGGCCTGCCTGACGGAGGCCAGTGGGTGCGTCAGTCCTGCCGCTCGGTCCATCAGTTTGCTCCAGTGACAGCAGACGATCGAGGTCTCCTACTATCAAGATGGACGCCGCCAGCCGCTCCTCGCGCACTCCCGACGTCAGCGCTATCCTTAAGTCGGGCCTGTCCCTTTACAGGGGGCAGATTCAAAGATAGTAAAAAAATAACAAATAGTCTGGGGACTATTGTTTGATCATTTTTGGACATATTTTCTGCTTTTTTGAAGATGTTTTATTTGTCGTCCAAAATCCCCCTGTAGTGGGACAGGCCCGACCTAACGCTATCCGTTACCAGACCGCCGCGTTCATCGTATTGACAGCAGCAGCAACAGCTGGGCATCCATCTGAACCTCCACCTCCAACCCCAGGGAAGTCAGCAGCAGTCCCACACCACTGGCACATGCGACGACGACCGCACCATCCACCTTCCTTTTTCGGCACATGCCACGGCGCTCACATCCTGGCCTCCCCACTGTGGCGACATCAACGGCATTCTATGATACGCGCTGGGTCCACAACAATCGATGGCTTTCTCACCCATGCAGACCACGCATCAAGCAACTGCAGCACTCACACCTCTCTACTGGCACATGCGACGGCGTTCGCATCGCGGTCTACACCACGGCGGCTACGTCGACGGCGCGCCATGCTACGCAGTGGGTCCACCCAGTGGCTTTCTCACCCACGCACGCCATGCAAGCAGTGCACCATTGAGAGGGACCTCTCTACCAACCTCTAATATCTCCTGGTTCCGTATTCTTGTGTATGCCCCACCCCCGCCGCTCGCCCTGCTGACCTCCCCCTGCCTGTTGTTGTGGTGGAGGAGCGGAGGGGCGGGATCATTGGCGGGGCAGGAGTTGGGGATCTCGACGCCGGCTGTCCTGGCTAGGGCCACGGCGGTCGCGGCGCACAGACACGGCCACGTGCTAAAGTTTCCCAGTCGCACGCATCGAGTGCAGCCGCCCTCTTCTGCTCGCCTAACCAACGCTCGTAACCTTCTGTCCACCGCTCCGCCTGTCTCCACTCTACCGTCACCTGCCGTTTCACGAGCTCCCCTCTTCCCTACCTCAGTTCGCAGCAGGCCAGCGCCATGCTGGCTCTCCCTCTCAGTGTCACATAGCACTGCTTTGCCCGTTTCAGGATCTGCGCAAAACTGCCAGCCTTGCATCAACGGTGTCCCGTCAGCATTCGGTGGGGGATTGCCAGGCGGAGGGGGGAGGATACGAATATTATGCATCAAATGGTAAGGGGGAGGGGGGAACACTGCCAGCGGGCCACCCTGGCAAAGGCCTAGGCGGCTGCGGCCTGCAGCACCTCATTCAGCAGCCTCGCACCTCTTCACGCCAGTTTGCCTCGCTTCTTCACCATTTAGCCTCATGCCCTTCTTCGCCGACCATGTCTCAACTTGTGCTAACCAGCCGCAGCCAATGCCCGCATGCACCGATTGCTAGCCCCAGTCCGTCGGCACTCTGTGGCTCAAAGTCGCCACGTGCCGCTGACCTACCGCTGAAGTTTACTGGCGGTTGAGGCCAACGGCTGAACTTCTTCGCCGCCGCTGCCGCAGCCGCACCGCACCGTATCGATGCATCGCCACGCCACAGCTCACGGATTCTGCCACGCTGGCGCAGCAAGTTGATCTAGGGGGAGGCGGGGCGGATTTGGAGAGGGCCTGCACGTAGGGCCACCGCCACGGCAGGCGCAGACCTCCCCCACGCTCGGCGGACCTCCCCAAAGGGCGGCCACCAGCCTTTCTCTTTGGGAGCCCTGTGCCTGCTGCGCAAGTGAGGCCCCCCTTCTGTAGGATCGGTTGACGCCTGCTGGTTTCTTGTTGATGGGCAAGGGGAGAGGCCCCTGATCGGTCCACCCTTGGCGAGTGCGGCTTCGCCGCCGCACAGCCCTCTGGATCCGCTGCAGCCGCAGCTTCACGCCTCCTCGCAGGTCAACCGTCGCAGGCCGTCATTCCCACCCCTTCTCTCTCTCTCTCTCGTATTGTGATTCTCTCTCCTCCTCGCTCCCCCCCCTCTGTCTGACGTTTTCTACGTTCCTCGTATGCCACCCACTTTACGCTACCGCGGGCTACCTGCAGGGGACGCCAGGCAGACCAGTTTGATCAACCCCTCCCAGGACCGACTGGCCCTGAGGTGGGGGGCATTGCCACGCTCGGAGAATTCAGTCAGGGGCCGAGACCGAGAGAGAGGGACAGAGAGAGAGAGAGAGACCCCCAAAAAAAAACATATAAGAGGAGGAGCAGGAGGAGGAGGAGGAGGAGGAGGAGGAGGAGGTGGAGGAGGAGGAGGAGGGGCAGGAGGAGAAGGCGGAGGAGGCGGAGGAGGAGGAGGAGAGGGAACAAGAGGAGGAGGTGGAGGAGGAGGAGGAGAAGGAGGAGGAGGCGGAGAAGAAAGGGAAAGAAAAAGAGGAGAGGAGGAAAAGGAAGAAAAGGAACACAAGCCTGTTCCCTCATCGTCTTCGCGGCTGGGTGCAGGTCGAGAAACTGGCACTGGTGGACCACAGGAGGGCGCCGAGGAGAGGTTCTGAACGGATTTGGGCTTGTGTCGTCGTCAGGGGCAGCGATAGGGGGGGGGGGGGCTAGGCATGGGGGGAGACGCATCGACCCCCAATCGCCCATGGTTCGCTGATGGGTGTCTGATAGCCCAACCCCGCTCAGTAACATGCGGATCTATTTTAGGGGACCTATCGCCAACCTATCGGCGATATACATCGCCGCCTCCAGGTCGATGTTTCCCCGTCTACTCCAGTTCACCCCTTTCGTTGCGCCTCATGTCGTCGTTCGCCGATTTCCGACGTTGCATCAACACCGTGAGAAATCTCGCAGCCAAAGCATCCCGCGGCATTTCTCAAGCCAGATCTGTGAGGGCCCCGGGCCCCGAAACCATGCGAGAACACCCTGGCTGAAAAATGGCGACCACGCAATTTCTGGGCCCCTCTCATAAGTCTCCCATTCTCCTTGTGCCTTGCGACTCTCCCCAGGAGCAGATCCTGGAGGCATCCAATCCCCTGGCGAGCCTGGCTGTCTTCGCCGCCACCCTCGGCCTCGCAGTGACGATGGTGGCCAGCCCGGTGCGCGCGGACGACGAAGCCCAGGACAGCCAGAGCACCATTGCAGGCAAGATCTCCAGGAAGAGGGGTGGTGAATGACGTAACCTGTCTCTGGGTTGAACTTCCATGAAGAATCCGCTCAGAGCCGAGGGCGCTGAGGATCAGCTTCAAAGGTTCTCACGAGCAGCTTGAATTAGCACAACTTGAATTAGCACAACTTGACTTCGTACGCGAACTGGCGCCTCCTGGCGTGCGCTGCCGCGCGGCTTTGCATGCTTGCCCTATGCTTGGCATCGCAAGCGGCTTGTGGGTCTGTGTGCGCTGTGCGCAACCGCAGGCCATGTACGCGTCCGCGTCCAACTCAGGCTGACGGCTCCTACCCGAGTGGCGGCAGAAGCGATAGCTCTGGCTTGAAAACGAATTAATTCCCCTGGGCTGCGCTCGCAGGGGATCCCACATGCTCGCCACTAGAGACAGACCCGCGTCACCCCACGAGGCCGTCGCGGAACATGATGGCGTCCCCCCCCACAGCACGGACCAATGCCTCGACGATGTTGCCCAAGGCCGTGACCAAGGGCCCCCTCCCGGGGCTTGAGGACTTAGACATGGCACTGGCTGAGGCGTCAGGCGCCCCCACGCCCGAACGGCGCCCATGGCGCTGCGCGCGAAAGCTGCCAGCAGCGTGGTGGGGCTTCTTCTGCAGCAGGAAGGCCGGCCAGCTTGCGGACTCGCAGGCGGCGTGGTGGCCTCCCAGGCAAGCTGCTCGTGAGAACTTTTGAAGCTGATCCTCAGCGCCCTCGGCTCTGAGCGGATTCTTCATGGCGTTCAACCCAGAAACAGGCTACGTCATTCACCACCTCTCTCCAGGAAGAAGAAGAAGCGCGAGGCCCAGGTGGCCGAGGCGAAGAAGGAGGAGAGGGTGGCGGCGGCGCCAGCGGCGCAGGAGTCCGGCGGTGGCTTCAGCATCTCCCTGCCGAGCTTCAGCATCCCCAACAACTTCGAGGCGGCCCCGAAGGCCGTGAAGCCCGCGGACTCCGAGGCCGCGCCCGTGAAGCCCTTCAAGGTCAGGGGGGACAAGGTCTACATCAACCCCTCGGACGAGCTGGACCTCGACGAGGTCCCGCTGGGCGCCCCCAACCCGCCGCTGCTGGCCGCTTTCCTGTTCGGCCCCTCGTTCATCTACCTGGCCTTCTGGGTCCTGGGATCCCTGGAGATTATCTGAGGTGATGCAGGCAGTGCCACAAGGGGGTCACCACCCGGCGGGTCGCGAGCTCCTCTCGGCGATCGAGGCTCGAGGATCGAGGGTCGAGGAGGTTGTTGACAGCTCTACTGTTTCGAGGGGCTGTTGTCGCGGGTTTGCGGGGTCCTGATGGGGTCCTCCTCATCGAGTACTCCAGGTTTCGTAATAAAAGGGATGGGGTCTGGACCCTCCAAGACAAGCCATTTCAGACCTCCCCCGTGGGAGAACCCTCCAAAGCATCGTCCCCAGACCCCCCAGGCCCTCCAAGATAGCCTGGAAGGGACCCCCCCCGAAATGAGACCCCCCTCCCTTTATTACGAAATCTGGAGTAGCTTGAGATTCCCCCCTAAGTGGGGCGGTCCAGAGAGGGCCTCGCCAGCGGCGAAGCGAGAGCGGCTCCGCCAGCGGAAGCAAGGCGGAAGTTGGCGTACGCAAAGGACGCCGCAAGGACGCCGCTGCAAGACCCGCCGCAAAGGACGCCGCTGCAAAGGTCAGCACGGAAGGTCTGGAAGCATGAGGGCGAGGGGATATGGTGAGCTTCTTGGGCTCTCGCCATCGGGCGGGGCGCTCCGGAGCGTTCTGGAACACGCTTCCAGAGCGTTCCGACACGCACTGGAACGGCCGCGGCGCCCGATGCGTCCTCCAGAGCCGCCTGACCTCAGAGCTCCCCTGATTTTGTCTGGTGTCCGATCTGGTCCCTGCCTGGGCTGCGTCTCGCGCAGAGTGGCAGCCCCCCTTTGGCACTGCCTGGGCGTCCGCTGGTCCTCCCGCGTGGCCCTCGCGCCCTCCTAGGGCCGCGGCGGGCCTGCCGCCGCTCCGTCGGAGGCAGCCTGGCGAACACGCCCTGCTCTTTTCGGCCGCACGCGAGAGTTGGCCCTTCGCTGGACGCGGGGCCAAAACGCCTCCGCCCTCTCTTTCCCCTCCTCTCTTCTCCTCCTCCTCCTCCTCCTCCTCCTCCTCCTCCTCCTCCTCCTCCTCCTCGTTCTTCTCGTCCTCCTCCTCCTCCTCCTCCTGCTCCTGCTCCTGCTCATGCTCCTCCTGCTCCTGGTCCTCCTCCTCCTCCTCCTCCCCATCCTCGTCCTCCTCCCCTCCTCCTCCTCTTCCTCGTCCTCCTCGTCCTCCTCCTCGTCCTCATCCCTTGAGGGCTCGCGAGGCTGCCTGGCTGCGACGGAGCTCTCTGTTTCGCGAGGAGACTGCCGCCCTCCGCCGAGTGGTGCGCGCGTCTCGGCGGGCGCGGCTGCCTGGGGGCCAAACCCACGCACGCATGCCGCTGCCGTCGCATCGCTTGCAGCTATCGGCGCGCCAGAGGTCACTCTTGCCTAGAGCCACTCTCGAGGGCGGAAAAGAGGGGGGTGATGACTAGGGGGGGGGGGATCTCATGGCGTGGGCCATGATATTTCCCCAGATCTCATGGCGCCTCTTCTTGTCTCATTACGTCCCTGGCCCCCCCGCTGGGCCGCGCACATGCCGCCGGTCATGACTTGCCCCCCCCCTGTTGGACACCCCCATCTTGGCCGCTCCCGACACTCTTGAGCGTGGCCGACCTTCGGATCTCGGACCCCCAGGCAGGCGGCTCGCACACGACGGGGTCGACGCCGACGTCTTCGTCTCTAAAGTCATTTCGACGTTTCTGGCGATCTCCTCGCAACGGCTGGACGCGTTTTTAAACAAAAACTGACCCCAATGGACCCTGGAAGGGGCCCCGGATCTGGGGGCAATTCATGTTTTGCTGTTTCAGGTTCGGATGGGACGAGAGGACAGCGTGTTTTTAAGAAGACTGGCGGTTGCTAAGACCCCAGGGGTCTTCCTAAAAAGGCCCGGGGGGCGTCCTAGAAGGCCCCCGTCTTCCAAGAAGCCCCCGCCTCCTTGCAGGTCCTTTCCTTGCTTGTGCCACATAATTGTGCGTACCGCCAATTATTCCTCTGGCGTAATCGTTTTTTCCAACGCCCGCGAATTGTCTTCATTCCCGGCCTGAGACGAAACATGTCAGCCAGCATGGACCCCAAACAGTGTGTTCCTAGCAATCAATGTGGTGTGGAGGAGTTTCTGTGGTGCAATTCACCAATGCTCGCAGTGAGTTGTCAACTCCACTGGTCGCGCAATCATCCCACCCACCCACCCGCAACTTGTTTTGCAAAACCCATGCGACGGCGATTGCGATGAGTGTTCGGTGCTGGCTGGTGAACCTCTGCGGCCGCGCTAGCCCTCGCGTGCGCAGCGGCCAGCTAGTTTGGCGCGACCGACGCGGCCGCGGTGGCGCTGACCGCTGGGCATGTCCCAGTGGGCTCTTCAGTGCGAGTCGATGGCTTGGGCGGGTGCGGAATCATGGCGACGCCGGCAACGGTAGACACGATGATGATAATGGCGGTGATAATGACGATGTTGGTGATAACGACGGCAAGGCCAATGACGGCGCCGATGTTGGTCACGCCCGCTGATAACGATGACGATGTCCTCGCGTCGATGATAAAACAAAAGTTTCGGAAGGAGTTCGACATGCGCGTGCGGCCGACGCGCGCGCGTGGCCCGCGTGATATTCTTTGACACGGATCGCGCCCCCTCCCCAGCACGCGCGCAAGGGCGTCCGGATGAGGTCGACACGCGGCGCGAGAGGCCCGTGCGGCAGGATTTGGTGACCAGGCTGGAAGCATGGTTTCTTAAGGGTTCGCAGGGGCGCGCGCGCAGGCTGCTGTTTTTTGCAATAGCCATGTGTTTCAGTCGTGTTCGGGACACTCGCTTTGAAATCCTTATGGAATTTGGACAGTTTGTTTGACACATGCCGGAATGCGAGTGCAACGACGCGCGCGCGTGATTTTCGCCCAGTTGTTCTTGCAATGGTTTTTTTTTGACAGCGCGCGGAGAAGGGCGTTCGAAAGATTTCGACCTGCGCGCGCGAGAGGCCCGTGTGGTAGCATGTTCTGAACCTGTTGAAATACCGGTGGTTTTCTTCAGAATCTGCAATGCAAGAGCGCGAGCGCCGGCTTTTAAAAACAAGTCTGTGTTGCGAAGGCATGTGCTGTGGCATGTGTTCGCGACGCTCGATTTCGACATCCTGGCGACATTTGAAGTTTTTAAAAAGGATTTCGGCATGCGGGCGCGACGAAGCGCGCGCGCATGCACTTCGCCCCAGTCTGTTGCAGGGGGTTTGTGACGCCTGATTAGATTCATTAAACGAGCGCGCGCATAATATCGCGCATCATATATTTTTCCCGGGGGATGGGCGGGGGACGGAATCCGGCATGCTTGGGGTGGTACGAATTCAAATTTCGGATGGACGATGGGGCAGAATAGCACGTAAACTGCCATGCGAAAAGGGGGCCCGTTAATTCCAGGGAGAATAGGGGGGTAGATTCGAATATTCTTTTAGACATGAGAATCTACGTGTGCTATCTAAGTGGTGAAAGTGGTGAAAGTTGTTTTTACATGAGAGGTGACACGTCCCACGCTCTTGCAAACACCCCACCCACCCACCCGCAACTTGGTAAGCAAAACCCATGCGGCAGCGAATGCGATGAATGTTCGGCGTTGGCTGGTGCATCTCTGCGGCCACGCCAGCCCATGCGCGCGCGCAGTGGCCAGCTAGTTTGGCGCTGCCGACGCGGCCGCGGTGACGTTGGCCGCTGGGCACATCCCAGCGGGCACTTCAGTGCGAATCGGCGACTTGGGCGGGCGCGGTATCATGGCAACGTCGACAACGGTTGACGCGACGATGATCGTGGCGATGCTGGCGACGACGTTGACGACGGCGACGGCGCGGCCAGTGACGGCGCAGATGTTGATCGCGCCCACGACGACGACGGCGTCCTGGCGTCGGCGATGCAGGTTTCGGAAGACGCTCGACGTGCGCGCGCGGCCGACGCGCGAGGGTGGCCCGCGTGTTTTTCTTGGCGCGGATCACGCCCCCCCCCCTGGCGCGCGCCAGGGCGCGCGAGTGAGTTCGGCCTGCAGCGCGAGAGGCCCGTGTGGCAGCAACCAACGAACATGGAGGAGCAACGACGGTTTTCTTAAGAGTTCACAGGTGCGCGAGCGCGAGCTTCTTTTGAGAACTGATGTTGCGAAACCATGTGTTTCTATATGTGTTTAAGACACTCGGTCTGAAATCGCCGCGACGCCTCAGGTTTTTACGGATGTCGGCATGCGTGCGCGACGACGCGTGCGCGCATGTTTTTTTTTGCAAACAGGATTCTCGCGACGGCGCGCGCGCAAGGGCGTTCGAGCAATTTCGACGTGCGCGCGCGCCGGCGGACGCAATGATGAGAGTAGCGATGATGGTGGCGATGGTGGCGATGACGGCGGAAAGGCCAGTGACGGCGCCGATGCTGACCCCGCCCACCGATGACGATCACGATGTCCTCGCGTCCGCGATGAAGGTTTTGGAGGGAGTTCGACATGCGCGCGCGGCCGACGCGCGCGAGTGGCCCGCGCGGCGTTGTTTGACGCGGATCGCGCCCCCCCCCCTTCACGCCCGCGCGCGAGGGATTTCGGATGAGTTCGACCGTGGGGCGAGAGGTCTGTTTGGCAGAATTTGACGGCAACGTTGAAAACCCGTGGTTTTCTTCAGTATTCGCATGAGCGCGCGCGCAAGTTTTTTTCATCCGAAAGTTGACGTTGCGAAGCCAAGTGCTTTTGCACGTTTTCGGGGCACTCGTTTTAAACATCGTTGTGAAACTCTGGGTTTGGGAAGATTTCGGCGCGCGCGCGACGACGCGCGCGCATGCGCTTCACCCCATTCGTTGCAGAGGGTTTTTCCGACAGCGCGCGCGCAAGGACGTTCGAACGATTTCCACGTGCGCGCGCGAGAGGCCCGCGCGGTAGAATTGTATGAGAACGTTGAAAAATCTTCGTGGTTTTGTTGCGAATCTGCAAGAGCGCGAGGGCGGGTTTGTTTAGATAATCCTCGTTGCGAAACCTTGTGTTTTATATGTTTTCGCGACGCTCGATCTCGACATCCTTACGGAACCTCAGGATCTTGAAAGATTTCT